ATACCCAAAAAATTATAAAAAATGAAGTAAAAAAATTACTAATTCTAAAAAAAGAGTTGAGAAATGCAAATAAAAACTGGGAAAGACAAAATGCTGATCATCTTATCATCTAACACGAATATCACTATAAAACATATATCATCTATGGAAGAATTGAGGTAAAAGTCTTGTAAAATCGAGCACAATCATCCTTCTTTTTCATATGCCACATGAGTAAGTGTTGCTCCAATAGCTTTTGCTAGTTCAGGTGTCGAGGCGCACAAGACCCGTCGGCTCATTACGTCAAATTCAGCTCCTGAAACACTTTTATCCTTGAGATTTCACAATTCGAAAGTCAAAACCCCCTTTCCATCTCGATAATTAAAAGCTTCGTCAGGATAAGTGGCATCAAAGATATCACTGCGATTACCACCCTGACAGTGTGTTTTGTTGCTATACCCATGAAAGGCAGGCAAAAAAAATTGAATAAATAGCGGCACGCACCAATGCAGTCAGTGTGATCATGCGTTTTGTGCAATTCCGTTCACCGAACGTTTGCCTGCTAATGATTTTCACTGCTCTGAGAATTTAAATTTTTTGAATCGCACTTGAGCAGGGGAAATGCCCATAAAATTTCAGCTTCCTAGCTTCCATGGCTCCCGAGATAATAATTTTCCCCGCCAAAACTTCTACGGGGCCGTATATGTTACCCGAGAGTACGGTGGCGGTGGATTTAAATTTGCGGGGTCACATGTGGGTGGGGAACACTCCACTAAATTTTCAGCTTCCTAGCTTTTGTGGTCCCCGAACTGAAAGTTGCCGACAAAAACACACAGACAATCCCGCGACAGTATACCTTTTGTACCTCTACTACACAGCACAGAATGCATGAAAATATGCTAGTAGCTAGGCACTATAAAACGTAGGCATGTAGCTGCCATACATATATGCAAATTCCAACCGCTAAATCCTGAATACAAGAACCGGTAGAGCATTAGTTAATACGTGATGGTTTTGAAAAGGATCAAGAAACACTGAAAATGAGGCGCAGCCCTCTTCAGGCCCAAAATCCCAATAAACGGGCAGACAGAAACATGAAAAACGTGGCCGTTCCACGTTCTTCATACTTCGGGCCGTCCGCTTTTTCCAGAAACAACGGCTCGGACCGAAACAACGGCCACAAATTATCTTAACAGCCACGTTTTTCATGTCTCGAGCCGCCCCCCTTTCCCAGAATTTACGGTCCGGCCCAAAGCAGCCGTAAATTATTCTAACAATCTTATCCCACCCTTCGTTTCAACTTTCTGTCCCCGGCCGTTTCACATTTCATTTTTTTGGACCATCCGCTTCTTTTAAGGTTACGACTCGGCCTTCCAATGGCCGCAATTTATCATCCCGTTAGTGACAGACGAGCATCGGATACCAATAACCTTGGCGAATGATGCCCGCGAGAAGGAGACAACAAAAACAGTCGTAATTCGGTAATTCTATCAGGCATCTAAATTATTTTATTACCGCAATCGTCATACTGACAAGGTCTAATTGTAATAACGGTAAGAAATGTATACGACTTAACAGACCGAAACATTTCTTTACCTATTACAAAATATTTCCTTAGTCCCTTTCCCTTTTTTACTTCGCTTTTTCTTCGTTTTCTTCCCTTCCTCATCTTTCTACTTCATTATTTTCTCTCCAGCCTTTAATAGCTGTGCGTGGCATACCGCGGTGCATCCTCCCAGTATCATCATTAACATCGGCTGCTAAGGTTACGCGTTCATTTCAAAAAAATTTACGGCGAACCTGTTGGATCCAATAAAACACCGCCAGCTTCCTTGACAATAATTCCAGAAGCTGCAATATCCCATGCATGAACACCGTATTCAACATACGCATCCACACCACCTTGTGCCACGTAAATCATATTGATTGCGGCTGAACCAAACGATCGATGACTAGACAAAAAAAATCATGAAATAGCCAAAAAAAAAAACCAGGAGACGAAATTTCTTGTTTCGCAACCACCTCCTATCTGGAATACTTGGGAAAGCTGTTAAGTTTATTTTATTTTAACTTATTCACATTCCCTTTTATTCCCTTACTTCTTACATAAACACACACCATCTAAAATT